GGTGTGCTGTGGCACATTGTGCACCATTAGAGGATCTTAGGTGTGCCACAAAAATTTTTAAAGAGCATTAATAAAATTATTTTCAAAAGAAGTTCAAAGTGCAGTAAGTATTTTCTCTTTCTTTTACTCTTTTTTTTAATCAACATAATTTAAGTGTGCTGTGGAAGTTTAACTACAGGCTCAATTGTGCCATGAGATAAAAAAGATTAGAAAGCACTGTTAGAGGATGGAGACAGTGTTTGGAGAACAGTAGCAGGATGGTTCTAATCAGAGGGCAGAATCAAGGTCTAACTGAGAAACTTCCACGACCATCAGGATGGAGGGTCTTCAAAGTGCCTGTCCAACTGGACTGTATCATTGCTGAGGACTGGCTGCCTCTGAGATGCTTCCATGTTTCCTTTCTTCAATTGGGAGTGTTTATTATGGTTATCCTGCCACAATACACATGATATCATGGTATACAGGAGTTATCTAAGCTTATCTAGCCTTTGAGGATTTGTTTTTTTTTTGTTTTTTTTTTTTTACATCAGACCACAAGGAGTCACATCCAGACCATTGGGAAGGACAATGCATCACCCAGAGATCCCTGGCCATTACCTGGGTGCAATGATTGCTTTAACTCTGGATTGGCTCCCTTAGGAAAGGTCTGATTATGTGCTTTTTTGGGAAGAAGGATACACATAGTTACTTAAAGTTAGAGTAGGATACTATGATGGAAACAGTTCATGAGCCTCCTGATTCAGGGCTCCCCTTGCATAGTATGTCTGAAGCTATCACTGGGAAGGGGGTTTCCCAGCCAGGAGCTGCATTTCCCAACCTCCCCTTCTATCCAAGTGGGCCATGAACTAGCACCTCTTAGTGGAATATGAATGAAAGTGATGTATGTGACTTCCAGGAAAACATGGTTAAGAAGTGAGTCTTAGCTCTCAATTCTAGGCTCTAGACAAGGGGGTGATAGATACAAAGGATGGTAGAAATCTATATCCTCGAATCATTGCATACAGAACTTCCAATAGTCCAGGAACATCCATTTTGGACAATTGGGTGAGCAAGAAACAAGCCTCATTTACAGTATCATTTGTTTCTGAGCTTCTTTGTTATAGCAACTAGGCTTGTACTAGTTCAGGAGCTCTAGGAAAAATCAATACTTCTTCTTTTTAGAGTATATTTCCAAACCTTAATTTTTCCTACTTCTGAAATATTTTGAATCTGGGTTAAACTTTTTTATCTCGAATATCCCTCTGAATAAGTTTCATTTTTCTCAAAGTAGGAACAACACCAGGAGAGAGTTGGTTTCCTTTTTTGAATTTCTATTTCTCAATCACATTCTATATTCTCACACTAACCCAGCTACTAGGTCAGCTGATTCATAGGGCGTGGCCATACAGATTTCTGTAGGGTAAATTGGTATGTCTAGGTGTTTCAAAACACAGTGACCATGGCCACAATATTTCTCCATGCTTCTCCCCAGCTGTTACCTTTTTTGATGAGATTTCAAAATGTCTATCCAATAGTTTTCATGAATGCAAATTCAAATAAAAAAATCAAAGCAAACCCACAGTATTCCTATTTACCTACGTCAGACTTTTTAAAACACCTACCATACACTTCTAAAGGATAGAATAGAACTTATAAATAGAATTATAACTTGACCCTTTGGGGTAGGACTTAAAACTAAGGTTTGCCAACTGAGATAGGCTTAGCTGTGCATCCTAATTAAAGGGTAGAGGATTTTTAGAAAGCACAAACTTTACTTCTACCCTGCCCTAGGCAGAAAATTTCACAGTAAATAACTTACTTGAAGACTGAATAACTTACCTTAGCATTTTGGCTGGGGAACATGCTTCACTTGTTATCTATGTAATTTCCTAACCTCAAAGGCATCCAGTGCTATTATCTTTTTCCCCTTTGGGCTTATATTCATTATGACTCTTTTGTGATTAAGGGTATGAATTAGGAAAACACATTTCATTTATCATCACAAACCACTGTGGCTACACATTGTGATCTGGGGGTGCCTAATACTGCAGTGACATGTAGAGATTTAAAATGTCTTCTTAGAACTGAAAGTCACAGCCACAGAAATCAGGGGGAAAAAAGGCCTATAAATTAGAAAAAGAAAAGTAACATTGTTCCTTTTTGAAGGCAACATGATCTTATTATATCTAGAAAAATCAAAGGACTGCACCAGCAAATTCATAGAACTGTTAAACAAATTCAGTAAAGTTGCAGGACACAAAATCAACACAAAAAAGTCAGTAGCATTTCCATACTTTGACTATGAAATAGCTGAAAAAGAAAGCAAGGTGGCAATCCCATTTACAACAGCTACAAGAAAATAAAATACCTAGGAATAAGGCTGGGCATGGTGGCTCATGCCTATAATACTAGCACTCTGGGAGGTCAAGATGGGTGGATTGCTTGAGCTCAGGAGTTCAAGACTAGCCAAAGTAAGAGTAAGACCCTTATCTCTACTAAAAATAGAAAAATTGAGGCAAGATGATCAGTTGAGCCCAAGAACTTGAGGCTCCTGTGAGCTATAATGCCATGGCATTCTAGTCAGGGTGCCAGCGTGAGAATCTATCTAAAACAAACAAACAAACAAACCCCTAGGAATACACTGAACAAAGCAGGTAAAAGATCTCTAGTAGGGAAACTACAAAATATTGATGAAAGAAATTAAGGAGGACACAAATGGAAAGACTTTCCATACTCATAGATCGGAAGAATGAATACCTTTAAAATTATCATACTGCCCAGAGTAATCTATAAGTTCAATGCAATCTCTATCAAAATGCCAATGCCATTTTACACAGAAATAGAAAAAATAATCCTAAAATTTGTATGGAACCAAAAAAAAAAAAAAGAAGCTGGCTTTTATATTATTTTAGTAGAGATGGAGTATCACTCTTGCTCAGGCTGGTCTTGAACGCCTGTGCTCAAGTAATCCACCCACCTTGGCCTCTCAGAGTGCTAGGATTACAGGCATGAGCCACCTTGCCTGGCTGAGACAACTTCATGATTGGAGAAAATATTTGTAAATTACTCATCTGTCAAAGGACTAATACAAGGAACTCAGACATCTCAACAGTAAAATAATAATAATAATAATGGCATTAAAACTGGGCAAAAGACATGAGTAAACATTTCTTGAAAGAAGACATACAAATGGCCAACAGGTACATGAAAAAATGCCCAACGTCACTAACATTTGGGAAATACAAACTAAAACTACAAGGAAACATCATCTTATTCTAGTTAGAATGGCTATTATTAAAAAAGACAAAACATAACGGAACTCTTAAACACTGTTAGAAGGAATATAAATTAGTATAGCCATTATGGAAAACAATATGAAAAGCTCCCAAAAAAACTAACAATAAAATTACCATAGGATCTGGTGCTCCCAATACTGGATATATATATATATATATATATATATATATACACACACACACATGTATATTCAAAGGAAAGGAAATTAATCTGTCTAAGGGATCCTTGTACTCATGTGTTCATCACAGCACTGTTCACAATAGCAAAGATTGATAGGGAATCAACCTAAGTCAATAGACAAATGAATAAAGAAAATATGGTATATGTATACAATAGGATACTATTTGGCCATTAGCAAAGAATGAAATCATGTCATTTGCAGCAATATAGATAGAATTAGAGGTCATTATATTAAGTGAAATAGCCAGGAACAGAAACACAAATACCCCATGTTCTCATTCATATGTGGGAGCAAAAAGCTTTATCTCATGGACAGACAGAATAGAAAAATAGATATTAGAGATGGAATATAGTGAGCAAAGGGCCGTGGGGAGGAAAAGAACTTTGTTATGGGTACAAACATACAGTTAGGTAGAAGAGGTAAGTTCTGATGTTTGACAGCAGACTACAGTATGTTTAGCAACAATATTATGTATATTTTAAAGTAATTAGAAGAGAGGACTTAAAATGATACCAGCACGTAAAAATGATAAACACTCCAGGTGATGCATGCCCCAATTACCTTGAATTAATCATTATACATTTTTTAAAATTCTCATATGTACCCCCATACACGTGCAAATTACTATATATCAATAAAAGAGAGGAAAACGTTGTGGGGTTTGGGAAAGCCAAGAACACGGAGAGGTGTTGGAGACTGTCCGGTTTGGGTCATTAATCATGATGGACCACGGATTATCAGAGGAGACAAAGGTGTGGGAAAGGCAAAAGCATAAGCTTTTCCTCTGATTGCCTTGGTTAAATTATGAATTATCATAGAGCTGGACGTGGTGGCTACCCCTGTAATCCCCACACTCTGGGAGGGTGAGGTAGGTGTATTGTTTGAGCTCAGGAGTTTCTGACCAACCTAAGCAAGAGCGAGCCCCCCATTTCTACTAAAAATAGAAAAACCTCCATTGTGGGGGGTGCCTGTATTTCCAGCTACTCAGGAGGATGAGACAAGAGGATCTCTTGAGCCCAAAAGTTTGAGGTTACTGTGAGCTATGATGACCTCATGGCACCCTACCCAGGGTGAAAGAGTGAGACTCTGTCTCAAAAAATAATAAGAAGAAGAATTATCATGGAAACTAACATTTATTTATTAGGTACCAGGCATTATAAGGGCTTTCCATGTATTCTCTCATTTTATCCTCCCTGGATTATTCCCAATTCACAGTAGAAGAAACTATAGCAAAGATATCAAGTAATTTACCCTCGAGCAGTGGTTCTCAACCTGTGGGTCGCAACCCCTTGTTGACAATGAAAATACATTGCTGCATTAGGAAGGTTGAGACCCACTGCCTAGAGTTTCGCACCATATAAATAAAAGCTGATTTCAAATCTAGATAGAGTGCCATCAGAGCCCGTGCTTTTAATCCGGTATAGATGCATTTCATAACTGCTATTGGAATGCCTGCCAAGCAATGCGCAGGTATTACAGCAGAAAAGGAAACAGAAGTTAGGTAATTTCACTTCCAGTTTCTCTTTCTCTTTTGTAACGTCAGCTACAGGGAAACAAAAAGGAACCAGAAGCTGCTTGTGTATATAAGTCTCCGTAGCATTTACCCGGAGCAGAGGAGGGAGATTTCTAAAGAGCAGGCAGCCTGAATCCAGCTCTTCAGAGCCGCTGAGAATTGCACGGCAACCATGAGGTAAAGATTCAAGATTCTTCTTTTTTCCCTGATTAGCTGAATGTCTAGTCAATCTTATTCTCGAATGCAAATCCTAACCAGCCATCCTCCCAAGAAAAAGGCCAGTTTTATTTTAGTGCCTGTTTGAAGCCTTCCTAAGCTTCTCTCTGTGTGGGCTATAAATCTGTCTTAGCACTGCTGGTTATTTTCTCCTAAGCTATTGTCTGTGCCTCACACTGTCAGACTTCCCAAGAGCATCTCCAGAGCTGCTGCCCCGGGGGAGCTGGGTTGAGATCAGAAAGGGACGGCAGCAGAGAGAGATGTTCCCTCAGGCAGGTGCTTCATTTAAAGATGGGTCTGAGGGAATTTCTCTTGTGCACTGTCTCTCTGTTCTTACTCAAAAGGTTTAAGTTGGGAGCCTTTTAATCAAAATATTATTTAACAAAACATTTCTTTTCAGTAGAGATTGTAAAAGATATATTTGGAATAACAACCCCATTTCCTGCTAAAGTGAATTTTATTTTTAATGTTGTCATTCATCTCAGATTTTGCATGGGGGTTGATAAACTAAGAGAAAGATTTTCACCCCACAATTCCTCTGATTGGCTAGAGTTTTCATATCTGAAGTATGAATTGGAGATGCTTGGGGGGGCATAGTCTTCACCTCTAACATCCTCCCATATCCCAGAAACGTGAGATTTGACAGAGAAGAAGGGTTAGCTCATTGTGTAGGAAGGGAGCTTTCTATTCTGTCTAGGTGAAGTGACTGGACCTGGTTGCCTAAGACTCAGTCCTGGGAGTTCTGGAATCCAGGGATACTGGCCCCCATGTTTACTTCCCTATAAGACACATTACCTTTCTTTTACAGGGCTCCTGATCTCACTTCTTAAAATAGTTACCCTGCTATTCTGTATGTCTTCCTGATAGAAAAAAACTTTTTAAACTATTTACAGATTTCTGTTTCCATAGTAACCCAGGAGCTTTAGAACCCTTAGTCTTCCTAGAATTTTAGCATAGTCTTAGAATCATTCCTATAACAACACAGATGCTTCAGTTTTTCTTCGGGTTTTTTTTTTCTTTTTTTTTTTTTTTTTTAGATATTAGGACTTTCACAGGGCTTTACCTCTGTGCTCTTAAGACAGTGGTTCTCAGACCTGAGCATGCATAAGAATCACCTGGAGAATTTGTTGCAGACAAATTCCTGGGCTAGACTCTCCAGAGACTGAGACTTAGTGTTGTCACCCAACCTGGAGAGCCAATACACTTAGACAGTCAAGGTTGCAATGGAGAAAAAAGTTTAATTCTGCAGAGGACTTAATGGTGGGATGGGAGGAAGTGTCAAACACCTCCCCAAGAATTTGGCACAGATTTGGCAGTCCCTACAGAAACCTTCAAAAGCAGAGGGCAGAGCTGCCTAACAAAAACTGCTTCGTTCATGGAAACCTAGCCACAGATTCAAAAGAGTGCTCTGCCCTCTCCCTAACACTTGTGCTGCCTGTGGTCCCCAAATTCCCATTTCCTCATGCAGGAATTAACACATATGCCAAAATATAAAAAGGAAGAACAGGAGAGTTTGTTCCTTGATTAGCATGAACTCTTTAGGAGGGAGGGAATGTGGTTTGCCAGGCTCCCATTCCTTGACAGAGAAATCTTATCTCAAAGTGTCCATCTTTCTCGCTTTCTCCACAGTGAGACCACTGAGAGTTCCTTAGAGAGCAGCCTACAGCAACTGAAATGCCATTTCACCTGGAACATGTTAGAGGGAGAAAACTCCCTGGATGATTTTGAGGACAAAGTGTTTCACCGGTCCGAGTTTCAGAACAGTGAATTCAAAGCGACACTGTACAACATACAGGCCTACGTGAAGTACTGCAGAGGCCAGAGCGAAGCAGCCCTCGAATGCTTACGGCGAGCTGAAGGCTGCATCCAGCGAGAGCACGCTGGCCAGGCAGAAATCCGAAGCCTGGTGACCTGGGGAAACTACGCCTGGGTCTACCATCACATGGGCCGACTCTCAGAAGCTCAGCTGTATGTGGAGAAGGTGAAGCACGTCTGTGAGAAGTTTTCCAGTCCCTATAGAATTGAGAGTCCTGAGCTTGACTGTGAGGAAGCGTGGACACGGCTCAAGTGTGGAGGAAAGCAAAACGAAAGGGCAAAGATGTGTTTTGAGAAGGCTCTGGAAAAAAACCCAAAGAACCCAGAATTCACCTGCGGACTGGCGATCGTCAACTATCGTCTACATAACTGGCCGCCCTCTCAGAACTCCATTGACCCTCTGAGGCAAGCCATTCGGCTGAATCCTGACAACCAGTATGTCAAAGTCCTCCTGGCTCTGAAACTTCACCAGGTGAATGAAGAAGATGAAGGAGAGAGGTTAGTTGAAGAAGCCTTGGCAAAATCCCCAAGGCCAACAGATGTACTTCGCAGTGCCGCAAAGCTTTATCGAAGAAAAAATGACCCAGACCGAGCCATCCAACTGCTGAGAGAGGCTTTAGAATACATGCCAGGCAATGCCTATGTGCATTGCCACATTGGGTGCTGCTATAGGTCAAAAGTCCTTGAAAAAATGAAAGAAAGAAAGTACAGAATGTTTGGGGAAAGAGAGGAGTTGCTGGAACTAGTAGGACAAGCTGTGGCTCATTTGAAAATAGCTGATGAGATCAACGAAAATCTCTTTCATGTCTGTTCCTTCCTTGCCACCCTCCACGCTATAGCGGGTCAGTATGAAGAAGCAGAGTATTACTTCCAGAAAGAATTCAGCAAAGACCTTACTCCTGTTGCCAAACAAGTGCTCCATTTGCAGTATGGCAACTTTCAGCTGTTTCAGCTGAGGTGTGAAGACAAGGCCATCCACCACTTTATAGAAGGTGTGAAAATAAACCAGCAATCAAAAGAGAAAGAAAAGATCAAAAACAAGCTCCAAAAAATGGCCCAAATGCGGCTTTCCAAAAACAAAGCTGATTCTAAGGCTCTGCATATCCTGGCAGTCCTTCAGGAGCTGAATGAAAAAATGCAACCACCAAATGAAGACTCTGAGAGGGATTTGGACTCTGGAACCTTCAGACTTGCAGCATCTTCAGCTGAGCCAGGGAATGAGGAATAGAGACATAATGCCCATAGGGTTACTGCTGAAAGGGAGCTGAAACTCATCCACCAAATCAGTATTCCAAATATTTCACTGGTGATATGGCCTATGCATAGATTAAGACACTGACCATAGCCCTAGATCAGGGTGATGGGGAAACCTGCTGTGCCAGGCACTAACACCTGAGTTGCTGGATCATGGGGAAGTCCAGGGAGTTCTGGGAGAGGGACCAGATTGCAGGGTAGGTCCAGGGGCCTGGTGATGGGGTTATTTCCCAGTTGATCCCTTGAGTGCAGTTTGCACTGTAACGTTACCTCTGTCATCTTTGGTGGGGTGATGCCTTGGGCTTGTATCTGTGTTTATAGAAACCAGCCAGATTCTTCACGTGTAATACTGAGGTCCACTTTTGTATATTTTTCCATCCTTGGAGTCATTTTAGATCCCATAGAGGTTGATCCTGCACAGACACAATTTTCACCACACAATTAAATAATTTTTTTTTATAAGATGGAGACTTGCTGTGTTCAAAAGGCTTCAGGTGGTAAAAAACAGACAGAATGGGAGAATATCTTGGTGATGAAGGGCCCAATGAAAGGTTCTGAGACATGCCATTGATCATATATGGTGGGAAATTTGTGGTATCCTTGGGACAGTGGGGTTTTCTAAGTAGATACTGAATGGCCTAAATATCAAGGTTGGTTGAACCAAAATAGTCAGCTGACCCAGCATGAGACCTTCAGCCATGCTCTGGCCTGGAAAATGTTTGCCTGTTGAAACTACTTTACATATAAGTGCATATCAACATTCTTTTATTAAGCAATTCAAACACAGAAGGTCAATTTAATTAAAAATTGTAATTAGTGTAACAATGGCTTTCATGGTTTTTTTTGGTATTAAAATATTGTCTGCATTTGAGACCATCTGGGTACATGGTTTGAATTTCTGAATAAGTCATGTATTTCACTAATAAATAACTTAAATGTGGTGGAACATAAAGCTGTGGTCTGATTTATCTGAAATTTTGGCATACTTCATACCTTTCAGCCTCACTACTGATAAAATGTTACATAGCTATGAACTGGCTCCAAGTAATATAGGCAAGTCTAACATCATAAACAATGAATAGAAGAAAACTTATTTTCTACAGTCTTTAGAGTCCAGGACTAGAGGTGACACCTGCTCAGTGCCACACAAGCACTCTGCCCCACCCTGACAGTGCTGACAGTGGGTAGGCCATTTCTGTTACACCTTGTGCTTTATCACTTTCTCTCTCTTCTGCCCTCTATTATAAGAAATGAAGAAGTGTCACTGATTCTGTTTTATGCCCCATTCTGGACCAATCCAAATGCATGTTTGAGAGTTCTCTCTATCAAGTGCAGAACAGAAATAGACAAGAAACCCTGAAATCTCCATTATTTCTCTATAGTCCTCTGGGGGGAAGTACAAATCACACCAGCGGCCATAGGAAACTCATTCACTGCACTGAATTGGGCAAGTGTACATTCTCAAGAAGGTCTAGTCACTTTGCATGAGTCACGTATTGGATCTAATGCCCAGGGAGGAAAACCACAAGTGTTTTGAGTAGAAACTAAAATGGGCAGGTATACTGACCTTGAAGGAGGGCCATTGGCACCTGTGTGCGCTAAAAAAGGTGTACCACAGGAAATAACTCCAAGATGGCAGACTAGTGACGTCTCCTCACCAGCTGCTCTTGGTAAGATAAGGGCAAAGGAACTCCAGTCACCTCTTATTGGATTGCCACCCCCCCCAAAAAAAAACTTCATTGCCAGGGCACGGGGAGTTAGTGGGGGACTCCAACAGCCAGGGAGGTAGGGAGCAAAGTCCTGCAGAAAAGGCAGGTGTAAGAGCTTTGTCTCTCAGTGGCCAGAATTCATGTGGAAACAAACCCTCAGGACCTAAGGGATCGAACCTGCAAGAGAGCCACCCTCCCAGCGCCCTGTGGTGGTGGACTGGGGACCGGACAGAACTCTGGGAGGGTCTGTCCCCCCCAAGCAAAGTGAGTGGGGAGAAATGAGCAGGAGCTGACATCTCACTGGTCTCCTGGGTGCAGGTAGAAATCTGTCCTTTGGCAAAGGGCTGGAGGGTCAAGCCCTGTCTGCCATAAAGTCTGGTGAAAACTTCATGCCCTGGAGCCAGAGGACGGAACACTTGCTTAGAAACCCCGCTGATGTTAGAATAAAACAGACCAGGAGAACAAAACTAGGTCTCCATGGCAATGAGCTAGTAACTTCCTGCCCACACAGCAGAAAACTTGCTTTTTTTGTTGTTTCCTAACTCTGGAGTACTGCCTGCTGTCCAGGTAATATATTGCATTATGTATATTTATTAATTTTAATTTTTTTTCTTCTTTGGGTTTTCTTTTAATATTAAGGTTTCTATCCTTGCTGCAGGTTTCCCCCCTTTTTCTCATTCTCTTTATTTTTCTCCTTTTCTCTTTGCTCTCTTCTTTTATGTCTTATGTGGCAATTTTTTCTCATCTTTCCTTCATAAATCTCTCAAATGACACCCACCATTCTTTATTATTATTGATCTGTTTTGTTCTACTTAGTTCCATATTTTGTTTCTGAGATCCTTCCGCAGAGCCTGGGCTGGGGCACCATGGCATTGGTTTGGGTCATGGAGGCCTTGAACCCCTCCAGCAAGGGCATCTCTCTAGCTTTGAACTCCTGAGGGACCATATGGGCAATACCCCACTGCAATACACAGCTGATTTTTTTTCTACATTAGGTGTTGGCAGGGTCTTGCTCTTGCTCAGACTGGTAAGGAGCTCCCAACCTCAGGGGACTTACCCACCCCTGGTCTCCAGAGTCCAGGGATTGAGAGTATTAGTTGCTATGCCTGCCCAACACCACATTCACTCCCTGTTTTTCTCTTTTCCTCTTTCTTCCTTCCTTTTTTTTCATTTTTAAAGTTTTTTTCTTTTTTTTGCCTTTTTTCCCTTCTTGCTCTTTTCTCTCTTCTTCCTTTTGTCCCTATACCAAAAGACCAATCCAACACTCGAGCACAGTGACAAAGAAAATCAAGGAGAAGGAGGAAACAAAAGAAGAAAGTAGAAGAGGGATGTGAACCAGGAGAAAACACACATGAAGAGGAACCAAGGGAAAAAAAACTCTAGCAGTGTGAAAACCCAGAACAGATCAACTCCCCCAAGGAAGCATGGGAAGCTACCACAGAGGATCCCAACTATAAAAAATTAGGGAAATGACAGAAAGGGGATTTAGAGTGTGGATAGCAAAAACAATGAAGGGAATTGAAGGCAAAGTAGAAAACCACCAAAAGTAAATTTAAAAATTGAATGAAAGAGGTGATGCAATTAAACAGGATATATCAGAGCTTAAGGAATTGAAGGAGTCATTCAGGGAACTTAAAAATGAAGTAGAAAAATATCAATAATGGATTAAACCATGGAGAATAAAGAATCTCAGAACTAGAGGATAAGGCTCTTGAGCTAACTCAGACTTTTTAAAAAGCAGAAAAGAAGATAGTAAAAGTCCCAGATTCTTAAAGAATTCTGGGACATCACAAATGTATAAACATATGAACTGTAGGTATCCCTGAAGGAGAAAAAGAGCAACCCAAAAGTATGGAAGCCCTACTGGAGGATATCATAACTGAAAATTCCCCAAGCATCACCAAAGATTCTGACACATTCCTTTCACATGGATATCAAACCTTGTTTTGTCTCAATACAAACAGAGCATCTCTGAGATACATTGCAATGAACCTGGCTAAGGTCAAAAGGAAAGAGAAAATTCTACAAGCAACCGGAAGTAAGCACCGACCGACCTACAGAGGCAAATACATCAGGGTGACAGCAGACTTCTCAGCTGAAAATTTACAAACCAGAAGAGATTAAGCTCCAAACTTCAACTTAAATAAAAAAACTTCCAGCCTAGGATCCTGTATCCTGTCAAACTAAGTTTCAAATTCATGGAGAAATAAAATCTTTTACTGACAAGCAATCTTTGAGGAATTTACCACTACAAGACCAGCTCTCCAGGAAATACTCATACCCATACTACACACAGACCATCACAGTGGAACACCAGCAAAGTAAAGACACACAGAAATGAAAAGTCAAAGCCCAGCTTCTGCCATGGCCGAAGTGAAAAACTGGATGACAGATCTCCACAAAACAAGACAAACACAACACCACCATATTTATCAATTAGCTCAATAAATGTGAATGACTTGAATTTCCCACTGAAGAGTCACAGGCTGTATGGCTGGATAAAGAAAGGCATAAGCCAACTATGTTGTCCTCAGGGAACTCATCTAACTTCTAAGGACAAAACAAAAAGACTCAGAGTTAAGGGTGGGAAAACAATATTTCAGAAAAATGGAAAACAGAAGAAATAAGGAGGTCGCAATTTTATTTGCAGATACAAGTGTATTTAATGCAATAAAAGTGAGAAAAAGACATAGAAGGACATCATATACTGTCAAGGGAACAATACAATTACGAAGATATTTCAATGATAAATATATATGCACCGAACATAAGTGCTCCCAAATTTATAAAAATAAACCTTAACTATCTGAACAATATCCTACAACACCTTAATAGCTTGGGACTTCACCTTACTAACAGAACTAGATGAATCCTCCACACAGAAATGAAACAAAGTAACAAGAGACTTAAATGTGACCCTAGAACGATTAAGCTTAGTAAACATATACAGAACATACCACCCCCAAACTATTAAGTATATGTTCTTCTTGCCAGTTCGTCAATCATTCTCCAAAATTGACCATATCCTAGGACACAAATCAAACCAGAATAAAATCAATAGAAATTATGCCTTATATCATTTCAGACCATAGGGAATAAAGGTTGAACTCGACTCCAACAAAAACCTTTACCTCCACACAAAGTCATGGCAACTAAACAACTTTATGTTGAATGACAGGTGGTTCAAAGAGGAGATAAAGAAGGAAATCACCAAATTTCTTGAACACAACAACAATGAAGCCACAGCTACCAAAAATTTCTAAGGGAAATTTTTCTCCTTAGATTCTCACATCTAAACACAAAGAGTTGACATAAACAAACTTAATGAACCATTTCATGGAAATGGAAAAGGAAGAGGAATCCAATCCCCAAACTCATGGAAGAAAAGAAATAACAAAAATTAAATAATATTTAACTGAAGTTAAAAACAAAAGAGTCATTCTCAAAATTAAAAAAGCAAAAAGTTGGTTCTTCACAAAGATTAAGAAAATTTATAAATCTTTGGCCCGATTAACTAGAAACAGAAAAGGAAGCTCTCTAATAACCTCAATCAGAAACAAAAAAGGGGAAATAATAACATACCAGAGAGATACAAGAGATCATCTCTGATTACTACAAAAAAACTCTATGATAGAAGTTTGACAATATGAAGGAAATGGTCAATACCTGGAATCACACAACCTCCCTAAGACTTAACTAGGAAGAAACAGATCTCTTGAATGGATAAATATCAAGCACCAAAATTTAAGAAACAATAAAGAAAAAAACCCTCACAATAACAAAAACAAAAAGCCCTGGACCAGACAGCTTCACACCAGAATTTTATCAAACCTTCAAAGAGCTTGTACCTATAATGCAAAACTATTCCAAAACATTGAAAAGAAAGTAACCCTCTTCAACACATTCTATGAAGCAAACATCACCATGATACATACCCAACCAGGAAAGGACCCAACAAAAAAGGAAAAATACAAACCAATCTCACTAATGAAGATTAATGCAAAAATATTCAATAAAATCCTAACAAGTAGAATACAGCTACACATTATAAAGTTATACATCATGATCAAATGACTCTATCCCAGGGATGCAAGGCTGGTTTAACATATGCAAATCAATAAATGTAATTCACCACATAAATAGAAGCAAAAACAAAGACCATAGAATCCTCTCAATAGATGCAGAAAAAGCATTCAACAAAATTCAGCATCCTTTTCTGATAAGAACCC